GTGACTAAGGGACAAAATCGACCGGTTCGATGTGTCTGTGTGTCTGTCTGTTAGACTGACTCATCACATCCGACACACGGCCAGTTGAACGCACACGCCCGAAACCCACATGCCCATCGCTAGGTCACCGTCTGTCGGCTCTCCTCCGGTCTGATCTTCGTTCGGTCTATCCGAGGTTTGGATCGAGCGAAACTGCCTATTGCGCTGACTGTGGTAGTTGCTGCCATGTCGAACCCAGATTCTACTTCGCTTTGTATTGTGTTCATCCCAGGGTGTGACGGTGTGTAAACGTTGCATTTCCCTGTCAAGCGCAGTGTGCCTATGTACACCATTGACAATAACGTTGTTGATTACCCCTATGGATATGCTATTGGTTTGCTTTCTCGCCCTCTGTACTATAACGCGTAACCACTGTTGTTGTTCCAGTTCCGAATCGCGTCCTAAGAGGAAAATGTTCGCCGGAATTGTAACCAAAGCACATGTACATTATCGCGCTTGGAGTAGTCGAACAATTCGGTCTACTCGACTTGTTTCAATAGGTGTAAGGTGGTATTAGCTGAAAGGTGAACAAATGCTCAGAGTGATTTTCGCGCTGCCTCCATCCGATTTGATATCTTAGACGTGTGATGTTGAGATCATAAAGCCTTCATCTAAACACTATCAACTCAAAGAAGATGTGTTTAGTTTATACTCCCACTGAGAGTCTGTTTTCCAATTTGATTAATCGTGTGTTTGTTCTTGGTTCACGATAACTTTTGAAGCGCACCTCGGCACAGTTGGATACGATTGCGGTGGTGTGGTCACAAACAACCGCCGTGAACAGGAATTCAATGTGAAACCAAAAAAGACTAACTTCAAGGAACCACATTGGTAAGTGCTACGGTTTGTTCACTTATTTTACCTCGGAAAGGAATCATCATTCAGATTTATTTGTTTGGTAGGTTTTGAGAGTTCATTGCCACTGGTCTGTGCGTTTGTATAGAATACAACAAAACGACAAGGTGAGCAAAACCCTTATCATTGGCTGTACAGTTCAGCTCAGTCCAGTTCGTACAACCATTAACCGTGCACTTTCGTGGCTGTACGCTGCAGAGCGATTTACATCACAATCAAACTCACCAACTCACTTTGGTGGTAGATTTCATTATTGTTTCCCGATGCACTGTTTCTTTTCTGGGCTTTATTTTCTCACTCGGACATTGACAGTAGCAGCATCTGGTTGTTGTAAACAAAACAGGTGTGTTGTACTCAAGAAAAGATTCATGAAATCTTGCTAGTCGATGAAACACTCCGCAGCATTTCTTATGTGAAATCGTAAAGTCGTCTTTCGGATTTAACACAGCAACTTTTCGCGTGTTTTGATTTACACGTACATCTGTTCTCGCTCAATATGGTCAGAAAACATGATCTTTGCACTGCTCCGCTAAATATGTTCGAGTAAATGTGGAACTTCCCGTCAGGTCCGTTCGGATCATCCTCGAAATCAGTTTGAGGGGGGGGGATCCTATGTACTGGACTTCCTGCTTTGACATAGTCGGTTCCTTTTCCGCACATGATTGTATTGCAAAAGGATTTCGTTTATTTGGACGATAAATTGGTCTTCTGTTCATGTTGAATCCTTTTTGGTAGTCAGCCGTTAATAAATGAACGTTTCTAATGCGCCTCTTCTCTTTACTCATATGATAACGCTTTTTTATACAGTTTTGGCATGTCGGATTTGCAAAACACATCCAACGAGCCGTACATATTTTCGTGTTTTTCTTTATATAATCGTAGTCTTTCGATAACGGCAGGACATTTGACTAATTTGGAACTGAAGAATATCGTAATACGTTTAATATTTAATTATCTTTTAGCGGCATTCATACATTTTATGGTGTGTAAGAAGTCCCCGTATCTTAGAGAGTCCTGGTGGCCAAAATACAAACCCATATGTGTTAAAAATGTGACAGTGAAGGAAATGAATTTTCGTCTTATATCGCTGTACTTGATTCCCATTTTTGAGGGATAACATTCGTACTACAGTGATTTGTCCTGGCAAATGTTAATATCCGAAGATCACTCCAGTGTCAACGGAAGCGGTAGTCATACGTGGTCATCCAAAGGTACCATCGAAATTGAAACTAGATTCTGGACTAAATGGACTGTATGTAAATTATAAAAATTATAACTTACAACACAAATCAGTTTTTTCTATTTCACACTACTGTGATGAACAGCAGACAGGGTGAGCCCCGTAGTCATGAAGACCTGGTATTCAGTAACGAAAATTGATAACATAAACCACAGGACTTGGAGTGGCGAACCGCATAAGGCCCCGCTAGGTCAGGCGTGGCATTGAACCAGACGACAACAAAGCTGCCCACCACCAAAGTTGGGTGACGGTGACAGGGCTCGAACCTCGGACCATAGGGTCCAAAGCACGCCAGTGACAGCGACTAAACCTAGTGAGAGGCTTAACATTGTGCCTGCCGTATTTCTGTGTTCAGACTCAGGATTCTCACAATAACTACTTTTATATTTGTGTCAGTACTGGGCCGTACCATTGTTTCACTGTCTTTTCCATTCCTTTGAATGGTGTACATTCCGTGATTCCGATGACTTACATGCACACATTTGTTGCACAACTATTCTGTCTTATTTGCTCTAGCATTCATCCCGGTGATATTTACCCGTACATGCGGAAGCCGCTTTTCCTCATTGTGGACAGTGACAACAGTGGGGCGTTTCGCGTGAGTTTCTCGCCAACCTACTTTGTTACTCGCTATAACAATTTGTCATCTACTGACTGAGCACTAATTAGTGTAGTTTCAAGTCTTTCACGTCTTTTCTTGTCCAACGTTATCGAGTTTATGCCGCACGGTATTCTACTGTTGCATTTACGAAACGGCTACTTTCATGTTCGTGCATCGCCATGCACCTGTTATTATTCAGGTGCAATGCATTCCAACACTCATCGGGTTACAGTTATGGGGTTCTGTGCACGGTTTGTATGTCTTCGGTCAGAGTTTCTAAATTGCTCGTCTACGTAGTGTTTGAGATTCAGTGAATGTGAGCTGTTCGTATGTGACTTCACGACAATATAAGGAAGATGAGCTGAGATTTGTGGTTCTAATCATAACCTGATTCATAGTGACAAAATAATGTATGGTCACTTCTAAAAAGACTGCACAGAGCATCTAGGTGTTCACTCTTGATAGTCGGCAAAATAAAGTCTATTATTTGGAAGGATTAACTACATAATACCCCACTTAGATAAAAAACTACCTGTCGCCGTGATACAGGATAAAAAGCAAAATAAAAGTTAAGGGATACACAAACCAAAAAGGTCGCAGGGAATGTTATTTTATGAAACGATATCTCGGTTTCTATGGTTTTGATGAAGACTGAACAAAGGAACAGTGATGGTAGTCATTTGGTCTATGAGCTTCATAACTCCTGGGCATGAGAACTAATCATGTACGTGTGTCAACTAGATTCATCATATATCCCTTCAAACGGGCAAAAAAAAAATCATCGGTGAATGGGTAGCGGGCCGTCTCAGGAGGCTTAAAATGTAAAGTGCGGGTGGATCTTGTTGGTCCCTTCTTATCCTTGTCGTAGACATCGCGATG